AAAAAAAAAAAAAAAAAAAAAAAAAAGTGGTATATTAATTTCTTTTATAAGATAATATAGTTCCATTTGTACTTTTTAATTTGGTTAGATACATAATAAATATTATTTGTAAATATATATATATATATATATATATATATATATCAAATTGATCGGCAAGAAATGATTAATTTGATAATTCATAACTGAAAAACGGAATAGAGATAAAAAAAATATATTACTTTTATAATAGTATAAAAATATAAAATTTAATAAATGAAAACAAATAATATCAATTTTCTATGAGAATATTTGATTTGGGAAAGAGATAAATGGAACAAAAATAAATACATTCTTACAAAAATTTCAATAAATTATTTATGTCAAATACCAAATATATTTCTGAACAATAATTTATATACAAACTAAATTACGAAGCACAGACTATTATGTTTGTATCCGAAAGGTGAGGTTTGAATTAATAAATATTGGGAATGTATTCAACAATTTTTGCATATTCATAATAAAATTTGTACTTTACAAACAATAAATTAAAAAAATTAAAAATGTATATTATAGTTAAAAAAATATAATTAAAAATATTGTATTTTTCTTAAGAATTACAACAATAATTAGAATGATGAAAAATCAACATAAAATGTACAAATTATAATAAGAGCGACATTATTTTTATTTTTGTCATAGCTGTCAACAACCTCAATAATATAGTCAAAAACAAAGGATAACAAATCTTTTGGACGTTTATATTTTTTGCATATGATTTTGAAATGTTACCAATCTTATCTGTTTGAGAAACAATAAATGTATTTATTTATTTCCCCCATTTTGTGATGCCCTTTTAAATAGTAGCAATAGAGATAGGATTTGATAAGTTAGTGTGTGTATATACCATGAATTAAATAATGAGCATATTACATGTTATGAAATTTATTATTAGTAAAATAAATAATTTAATTATAAATTGTTTAACTTGCATATAAATCATTATATTGATTGCAATACATAATTTCAGTGATTTGACCAACTATTTAGATGAAGATATATATTATTATTATTATTATAGCAATTGTGATCGAAATTATAAGTGGTTTGATTATGCTACAATAAATTATTAAATAATTTTAATAATAAGTTGCTTGATGAGCTTAAAAAGATAATAATTATTTTGAATAAATAGTTTCAAAACAATGTGCAATAGATTTTTTTATATGTATATGAGTAGTTAATATTAATTATTATGTAATAAAATAAAGAAAAAATATTATTACTTGATTAAGCAAAATGTAATACTAGTAGTTTCTTTACAAAATTAGCTGGAAAATATGCAAAAACAAAAATTTGTTGCATTAAATTCTTTGTGTATATATAACACACACACACACATTCCAATTTCTAAAATTCAGCAACCAAATAAATGAAGACCAACTTTCGATATAGAATTTCTTTCAACAAAGACTTCAATTTATTCCCTATTAAAGTTTAATTATCATTTTGTGCATAAACAATCAATAGCCCATGCTAAACATAATCATATACTATTTCACTTTATATATATAATTTCTGAATGAACTGAGTCTAACTAGTAGACTCGCACGGTTCAAAATTTTATGTAGCATATTATCATGTTTTGTCTTTTAACTTGCGTGAATTTTAATTTACTTTCAATAAAAATAATAATTAGATTTGAAATAGCCACAAATAGAGTAGATATTTATGATGCTTTTTAAGAACAATAATTAAGTTACATTTCATATTATAGACGTGATTCATAAGTTATACATTTTTTTCTCAATCTTTCTTTTTTCTCATATTTCTTCTAAAATTATGAAGAAATTACTGACTTAAATTATAAGTAGATTTAAAAGTTAATAAAGTTTAAATTTATTATCATTTTTTATACATAATATATCAAATTAATAATGTCTTGATGAATTTCGATTTGGCACATATATTTTACATACAAAATAAATAAATTATTATATTTATCTTTGTAATAAAAAATAAATTATCTATTAATATTAATTAAAAAAATAAAATTATTCAAATCAATTTACTTACAAAGTTATTAAATGATACAACTTTTAAAATGTATTATAATATAAGATGATAAGTTGTACAAGTGATTTCTTTTTATTTAAAATTTAAATATTATTATAGTTATTCAAAAAAATATTTGAAAATTAAAAATAATTTTATTTTATTATTTTTAATTTTAATATAAATTTCTTAACAAACACCTATGTAATACACGAGTATTTTATTGATACATAAATAACTGAAAAGAAATAGGTGTCCCAAGTAGTATTACTAGCCACAATTATTTTTCCTAACATTGCATACAAGTGCCATTCTCCAACTTTTCACCACTCCAAATTTTTAAATATTTCAAACAAAACAAATTACATTAAAATATAATATAAATAAAATTACTGCATTCTTGTAATATAAATATACAACTTTATTTTAAATATGTGATAAATCGATTCATCTAACTATTGTACATACCTCACGAATTAATTAAAATCATGAGTAACAAATAAACACAATAACTATACTATGGTAATAAAATGGAATATTATTTCTTCAGAAAAAAAATAAAATTACTTATCATATAAATTACCTACAATTTTGTACATCTACGAAATTATGTCAACCACGAATTATTTATGTAAATTGTTTTTTTTTTTTAAATAAAAAATCGATCATAAAAACTACTCACTTTATATATTTAAATACTTAAATAGTAGTACAGATTAAGTTATTTTATTTTCGTAATTTTCCTTATCACAAATTTTAATTTGTTTCAAATAATTTATTGTTGAATTTATCATCCCAATAAAATAACATTAAACTATATTTTAAATTGGTGGAAAATGTATTTTTTTTAGAAAAAATGAAAATCAAATGTGCAGATCATCAACAGCTTCTCATTTATCAACCAAGGGCCACCTATCACTCCACGTGTCCTTTCATCTGTATTTCATTTTCTTTTTTTTTTTTTTTTGCATTTTCTTTAATAAAATATATTTTAATCCTCACAAAGCTGTAGCCTGTATGTATATATATAGTCTCTCTCTCTCTCTCTCTCTGTCTCTCGAATTTCCCTCTCTCACACACTACACACAGTCCCACCATTTTTGCTCGCTGCCATTTTCTTTCGCTTTCTCTGTTGGCAAGCTTCGAAAAGCAAGAGATTTTTTCTACGAAGTTTGCTTCAAACTTCGACGAGATTCTGTTCGTCGTTGTGGTCGTATCCTCGATTTTTTCTCTACACTTTTTGGGGTTTCAATTCGAAAAAATGAAATCAAATCAGTTTTTTTTTTTTTTTTTTTTTT